CGTTCCTGTTTTGTCAAGGAACGTGATGCATAAGCGATTACTTTCTTGGTCGCATCATCATATCTATAATATAATACAGCTCCTATACCATACTCTGAGGCATCGGTAGCTAATACTACCGGAACATCAGGATTATAGTGTGCTAATGTGTCTGTTGCTGTAAGCTTTTCACGGATCTTTGTAAAAACTTCTCTCTCTTCGGCACCTCATCTCCACGGTGCATCTTTCCTGCGCAGACTGTCCAACGGCGCTGCCAACGTAGCTAATCTAGGGATGAATTCCCCATAGTACTGTATCATGCCTAGGTAAGACTCCAATTCTTTTATATTTCTAGGCTCTGGCATGTTCAGTATCGCTTTTAATTCACCAGGAGATGGTCTAATGCCCTTTTCATCGACCACGTGGCCTAAAAACTGCATCCCCTCCTTAAAAAATTCACATTTACCTCTTTTGAGGCGGAATCCGACTTCATTCAGTCTATTCAAGACTTTCTCTAATCTTTCTAAATGCGTCTTATCATCTGGACCTGTAACAGTAATATCGACCAGATAGATCAACACCCCTTCGATTCTCGCCAGCGTCTCCTCCATTATCCGCTGGAATATTGCTGGTGCTGACGCAATTCCAAAAAGGATTCGCGTATACTCGAACAACCCCTCGTGCGTATTGATAGTAGTATAGATCCTTGAGCTCTCTTCCAGCTCAACTTGCATATAAGCATCAGAAAGATCACTTTTCGAAAACTTCTTGCCGCCATGTAACATGTGAAACAAATCGTCTGGCTTGGGCAATGGGTACTGATTGATATCTAGTTGCGGGTTCACCGCGACCTTATACTCACCACAAATCCGTATTTTTCCGCCTGGTTTGGGCACAACCACCAGCGGTGTGGCCCATTCACTATACTTCACTCTTCTTATTATTCCCTCCAGCACCATTTCTTCCACTTTTGCCTCGACTTTGGGCCTAAACGCAATAGGTATTGGCCTAGCTCTGAAGAACTTAGGCACTACTATATCATTTTTAAACTTCAGCTCTGCACGTGCAGTCGAGCACTTGCCCAAATCATCTTGGAACAACCTCTTATTGTTGTCCAGTATACGTACAATTTCTCTCTTGATTTCTATATTGGGCATTTCTTTAACCTTGTGAACCATCCCATAATGTGGTTCACACCCTATCTGCAATGCTCTTATCATATCTCGACCACATAAGGGGTGTGTCGCCTCCTTAAAGACATAAACATCCACTATCGCCTCCCCTCCGGCGAACTTAACATTTAGTGGAGCTCTTCCTTGGAACATAATACCATTATTATCGAATGCCGTCGCAGCCCGCAGCCTTGTTCAACTGTGGCTGGCCTAACCTATACCATGTCTTCTCGTCAATGATGGAAAGAGATGCACCGGTATCTAGCTCGAATGAGATCTTCTTCTCATTCACTTCCATCTCCAGCATTCTCCGTGGCTCGCCCAACCACCGGTCTACTTCAACATCTCCAACCGTTTCAGCGGCTATCACCTCTCCATCCCGGCAGTCCACATTCCTGTTTCCCATCGTGCGGTGGGACTGCCCTGTCCAGTCCCCAGACTGTCTTCCACTCGCCTCACACCGTTCCGCGTTACCTTCCGCGGCCTAGCTCGACGATAGTGGGTAAGTCGTGACAAAGCTACTTTGTTTACGCTCTAAGTCACTAGTTCCTCTCCACTGTCGGAGCTTCCAGCGGGCTCCTCACACCAATGTACTTGGCGGGACACTTTTTGGCCAGTCCTGGGGCTCTTCCAGCACGTCACTGCCACGTGGCCTCTCTTCCCGCATACATTGCAGTATGCCTTCTCCTCCCTAAAACAGTCATAACAGGCATGGCCAAACGCTCCGCAAACCCTAATCTCATACCTTTCCGAGCTGAGCCCCTGCTCGGCCTTCCCTTTTGATCCTTCGTTTGCGCGCGCCCTGGCCTCTGTCGGTTACGCTCATCTTTCCGTGCTCTTACCTGAGCCACTCCCACCGGCTGAACTTGCTGCAGGCCTTCCTTAAGGTGTGGAGCATTCACTTCTACACGTTCGAAAGCTTCCGCCTGCTCGAGCGCTTCCTTCGAGGAAAGCTGTTCCTTCTCTAAAAGGCGCTTTGTCGTCTCTATAGATTGTAACCCACCGATGAAGACCATCGTCACTACTGCATCCCGGTGATCCTAGATTTCTTCAAAACAACACGTATTCGCCGTTTTCTGGAGCTCCGCGTAATACTCATGCAGCGACTGTCCTTGCTTCTGTGTCTTCGACATTAGCCCGAATCGTTCTGCCAATACCAGCTTTTTCGGCTGGTAATGCTGCTCCATCGCTGCCCGTAGATCCTTCTATGGTACTTCCTCCAATTCGCGTCCCTGTAGGAGTGACTCCAGCAACTCGTAATTCGAGTTACCCACTTCCTGCAGAAATATAAGCCGCTGATCCCCCTCCTTTGTTGCTTTCCTCAACATAAGGAAGTTGGCGAACAGCTTCCACCAGGTCCGCCACGATGTCTCCGGGACATAAGGCCCTAGGGCTCGACCTCGGTACACCTCAGTACCGAGATCTCCCATCGTGGCTCTTCCGGTGGCGCTGTTACCGGTTTCCATCTTCACTCCTTGTGCTGGTCCTTGTCCTTGTGCTGCTTCCATCGCGTTCGGCTGATCGCCAGTTCGTGTGTGTGAACTGGAGACGAGGGGGAGAATGATTTGTTGCTCACTACCATCCTTTTTATACTCTCTCTAATAATCAGTCTACTATTTCCCTCACTTCTTCATTCTTCACTTCCTCACGTCACCACACCCCTCTACAGTAATGAGTTACTTTTGAACGTTAGCTTTATCAATTCTTCAAACTTTATTAATAGCACGTGTTACTAGCAAAACTAAAGCATTTCAAGAAACAATTCATTTAAAAACCAGTATAACTTACATAGGCAACAAAATACACCAACAACTAATACTATCTAAAACTAAAAACAAATACAGGTCACTGAAAAAAACGTAAACATCAAAAGATATGAGGTAGATAAGTGACTAGAAAAGCACAGTTCAAGATAAATTTTATGACTGACATAACACGGATCAGATATTCAGACGAAGCTTCAATTGTTGCAATGACGCTAAGAGCTGACCATATCAAGCCGAAACTGCTCAGAACTGCCTTTCACTGTCGCTGATACCTGACAGCGTCAAATAAGGTGTACGACTGGTCCTCAAATTTATCTTACGGTATCTGTGATATGCCAAATTTATTGTGAACGGTGTCTTTGAAGTAAGAGTGACCACAACATTAGGAACCCGTGTTACAAAGAAAGCAAAATGTAGATAATGAGGTAAGAAAATGAGGCAATATAAATATATGAGGTGAATATATTTATATAGTGAGCCTAATTATATTATAAACTTGAACAAAACAGGACCATATATACAGATGCGAATATACTTAATAACAAAAGGAACCAAATTGCATTCGATATAACATAGTGGAGCCGACGTAGATGGGATGGTTACGACGAAGTGGAATGAATAGGAACGTCACGAATCTGTAATCCAAACGAGCTATTATACAATAGAAGTTCGAAAACATAGTTGGTTTAAAATATCTGCAAAAAAGTTCCAAAATCGACTCGTAAACGGGCCAGGATAAATGGGAGGTCAGCCTTTTACAAGCTTAATCTACTTAAGCATCGCGTTACAAAGGTTGTATCCTGATTAGATATTGCCGGCTGCTCTCGAGGGATCTGCCACCTTTGAAGATAGACACCACCGAGGGGTGATCCTGTGGCTCATGCGTGTCGTTTCCTACAATGTCTGCTGCAGGGAGGCCCTCATGAGCAGTAGAGGTGGTGGACGGGCAGTCTGCGAAAATGAAGCCGTGAGGGGGTTGCGCAAGAAGATCAGGGAATGTGAACAATGCATTTTTCATCTTTTCACCTCTTTTCACAAAATAGCTTCAGATCGCGAGGTACTTCTATTGTTATTTGTGAGTAATAGCGTCAACTTCCACTATTCATTGTTGAGTCAGGTACTGCGCATAATGCTAGAGCAAATGAGGTTTGTGAAGAAGAAGTACAAGAGGCATGTGAAAAATGAGAATAAGTAAGTTATCATGTAGAGACTGAATCAGTCTTCCCACTCTGCCTGTCCGTTCAGATGCTTTCGTTATTGCGCCTATCGCTCCTTCGTATTATGGTGCTATGGGCGACTCGGCCTAGGTAGGATGTTTGAACTTCCCGTATGTGCTAGAGGGCCATAATGAAGGAGTTCCCTTCTAAATGTAGGATTCTAGTATTGCCACACTATTACAAACAATTATAGGGACGCTGCAATAAGGGAAGCAATGACTGCGATGATGAAGAATGGCGTGGTAGTTTTGTATAAATAAATATTTCTACGGAATGTGTTCACCTCTACAGCTCACACTCGTAATGGTCGTCAGCGGCCATGAAGTCCGCGATCACTTCACTTGAGTCTTTGTGCTCCTCTTGCAAGGCTATGAGGCGACTCTTGAGAATTTCATTCAGAACTAAGTCCCTCCACAAATGTTCAGCTGAAGTTTTCAGATGCAGCTTAGATTCCCTCGAAAAGTATTTTTGCTGTACATCTCGTGTCTTCAGCACTCTCCTTTCTCCGGTACGTTCTGCTAGCCGCGAAGTGTTGATATGCATTTTGGCCGTCATAGCATATAACGAATAGGACGCGAGTGGATAGAATATCTCATCACTGCAGTCAATTCTATTCAGTGCGTTGTTCGTTTCACATATAGAGGTTCCTCCTTAGGGACTAGCCCGAGGCAAATTTCTTTGCAACGATCTAGTCAGGATGACCTTCCGGATCTCCTCATAAGGCCTGCTCCCGGCAAACATGACTCCCGCTCGCGAATCTCCCAAAGGTCCATGACCGCACTTAGTGCAGGGACCCGTGAAGGCATCCTGAAAATAGCTAGTGAAGCGGAAAGCTCATGAAGAAAGTGAAATAACGAATATATTTACCAATGGCCACTCATGAACATCCTTTATGTGCATGAGACGTGTTAAAAATGGCCCAAACGTCAGCATTACAGCCGGCCGCGTGCCCGATAGAATTCCACAAATGGGCCTTCAACTTTTCTGCACACGCGCCGACTTTTGCACATCCGTCAAATTTGGAAGCCCATGAAGTAAAGGAATGTATGGAACTCGGCAGGAAGGAAGCATTCCAGGATAATGTCAATACCTTCCTCAATTCATTTACTAACCACTATGATAAGTGCCACCCGTCATTATGATGTCGAAGGCCGCCTATCTTAGACTCCATTTCTCGCAACACTTTTCCAAACGCTCAACTTCGGTCGCCAGTTAGCACCCACCGCCTCAGTCGCCGTACTGCTTCAACTTCCATGCGCATGCTGCTGCCCTCTAAAAATCTTATGACATTGAAAATCGTTCCTTGTAATTAATTCCATGAAACATCGTACCCGTCTCTGAGCGGTGCAGCACCTCGGTACGGAGCACCAGCTTAGTAGCTCCGACGGAACAACCTTCCCGATCGAAGCCGAGTACCCTCGGCTGTCATATGCTTCATCTGTGACTAGGTGCGGTCCTTCACCTTCCTACAATCTAACCTACTCTGATGATTATAGAAACTCTGACTCCACTTATTTTACCTTGTAGGCGCTTTTCACTAGTTCCAGAGCAAGGCTTCGCTGCGAGAGATATACCTTTTCTATGGCCGGCTTCGTCGAAACGAAAACATTTCAAAGGAAACTCTTCGAGAACGTCGCCAATTTCATCTGCTCCGCATAACTTGCCAGTTTCTGAACATGCAAATGAAAAACCTCTGTATTTCCAATACCCGTATGTAACTACTGACGGGGTAACGCGATCCAGTGGTGAAGACTAATTCCCGCTGCCTTCACTATCCCTTTAAACACAAGCTCACGCGTGTGGGGGACGGTTCGGTCCTGGCTCTCCCACTGCATCAGAACAGACGCGTTAAAGTCCTTGCAGATGAAACTGACGACAGCAGCCGTGCCAAAGGCCTTCAGACGAGCGCCCGGTAGCCTATGTCCGCATCGAGAGCAGAACTGGAAGAGCTCCAAGAAACTCCAACCTTGGACGAGAAAGTACTGACACAACAAAGCTGCGTCAGTCTCACCCAGGAAAGGCGTAGTCATTCGGTAGGGTACCGACTCGTCATCCTCCATGTATCCGTCTGAGCTCTGAAATAATTTACATACATTGTTATTAACATTTTTACTGTATTTGCAATAGATTTCATCTCTCCAGATTCGCAGGCCATTTCGTATTCCGGGTGTTCCAATTCATCCCCTACGTCCATTCTTTCTCCATTATATTGATTTCCCTCAACGCACACCTATATGTAGGCAATGAGTAATAGGTCTCCTCTATATACTCATCACTCTGTCATCTCTTCCGTTACCGGCCAGATATTCGAACCATATTAACGTTTGAGGGCGTCGTTGAGGAAATGGCCGACATCTCGAGTTTTCACCGTTACGCTTCCTGATAATACTTACCTAGCCTTCCAACGATAACAGCTCAATCGAGATTCAAATTCCTACTTTTGCACTCCGATTCAGCTCTTCTATACTATGCCTGGGATATCGGCCAAGGCTATGTAGGCCTGAGCTCCGGGCGAGCTTAGGTCGTTGGAAAATTGATATTCTAAGCGTTGCCATCTCGGCAAAAAGGAATTGAGCCAATTCATTCTTTCCTTATTATACATATCTGTGTATTCCTTTCCAAACTCACCGCCTGCGCCACACGCTTATCGCACACATATTCGCGCATCTTCGAGACGGACTCCAGAAGCCTACGTGCGCATTTCATGTCTATGAAACCTGCTAATGTCAAGAGCATCAGCAGAATCACATTTTGCTAGCGTGAAAGCGACGTTCTTCTCGCGATAATGGCACGGGTTAACCTCCCGCAAACTGCGCAGTTTACCATATTGCACTGTGTGCTAAACATTTCTATGAAGACGTGTTCAGTATTTAGAATAGTTTCGTTTCCAGGCCTCCTTTTATATCCCGTTCATTCGTTTCTTGTGTATAGTATTCTTGGTGGGTGATTGTAGAACACCACGTTCTCTATTTGGGCATTCTTCCACAACGTATGTGAGTATTACTCAGGGCTATTACCCTGTGCAGTTGGCTGAGCATCTAATCTTAGTTGTGTTCCACTTAAATCCTTGATGACCGATTGTCTTTGAGTTGGAAAGCAAACGATCAAAACTTCTAATCACAGGCGTAATCGGCACATGTGCGTTGCTCTATTCCTAATTTCAATGCTGACAATCATTCATTAGAATTCAATCAAAGAATAAGAAAAAAGAGGAGGCGATTGAAACAAATAAAAAATAATTGATCGAGCCAGCAATAAAGTTCGGCATTCATATGTATAGGAGGGAATTGATTCTACAGTGATCTCCCTTCTCAACTTTTGATCCACGTCACAGCCACGTCATAGCCACGTATGAAGGAACCAGGGGTAATCCTGAGAGAACGTGTATGCGAGGAAAGGGACATAGATGTCTAAAATAAATAGATTCTTCATAGAAGGATCAAAGAGTGTACTTGACAGTGAACAAGAACACTTCAATGAGGCCCCATGAAGACTATCCAATGAATCAAAATAAAGATTGAGCTA